AATTTCCACCTAACCTATAAAAATTATATATACTGCCATATATAACTTCCAGCCAAGCTATAGGATTACACCTGTGCACCTTAATGCTTGACACCTATAACTAGGCTGTAATAGCTTGCACAAGGTTTCATAAGGATATAAAAACGTGAACTTCTAAAGATTCCATGGGTGGGTTTTCCTGAATAAGACATGATGTGTGCCAGATACAAATTGTTGCTGTTTAAAATTGGAGCAAACTTAGAAAAATCTTCCTGTTTTATCTTTCTTATCCTAACACCATCCTTTTGGCTGCTCCCTGTTTTGCTGATCGGTTTCCATGATTTATACAATGTTCTGTTTGGCATAGAGCAGATGAAATCTGACACTTGTGACATTTCATTTTATATTAATGCCAAAACCTCAGAAATACTCTAAAGCACATTTGTTAAACTGATTTGCAGTGAACTTAACGATTCATTGTCAGACAGCTTTTATATTATTTATTAGCTTTATTATATTCAATTATCATATTCTAGGGTGAGATCACAAACTAATATTGCAGTTTTTCCCAGTGACATGATAGACAACAGTTTCATTGTTTTCTGTTGCACCTAACCGTACAGTATCTGCAGAGATGCCTGTTCCTACCTGGCTGGGCTCTTTTTACCATAATGGCCCTAGCCTAGAGCAGCAAGGTTAGCAAAGGCAACAACAGCTGGCCTCAAAATTAAAGTGATATTAAACCTTCAGTTTTTTTCTTTTCTTTTTTCTATTTATTGTTGGCAGACTTACTTTAAAAAAATACCTTTTTTTTAGGGCTGGTAATGATTCAAATTTTTGTGTTCGATTAATCAAATTTTTGTAAAATTGATTAATTGATTAATTCCGAATAATTCTAAACGCACATACAGATCCAACTACATTGGCCTATACACATACAGCACAGCAATGAAGTTATAAAATTAACTAGGATCACACTAATCCAGCACGTTATTAATCTTACGTGCCCCACTCAATATGGCCGCCACTTGAGTGGGGCAACTCAGAATAAAAACGTGCTGGATTACAAATGTATTTACATAGTATAGTAAAACAGCAAGGCCCTAAGGGTGATGTAAACATAAGTATTAGCTTAATATTTGAAGTAGCAGCACCTGTCCATTCCATTTCATGCAAGGACAAGAGGGAGGAGTCCAGTGACGTCACGGCCATCAACGTCACCGGACTCCTCCCCCTTCCCTTCGTTAGCCAACGGAGCCACTTGGGGAAGAGGGAAGGAGTCCGGTGACGCCGATGTCCGTGACGTCACCGGATCTCCGACGGGACTCCTAGAAGCCGGCGGAGAGATGAATCTTTTCATTTTCGATCAAAAGAATTTTAATCGATCAAAAAGTTTACCGATTAAACGAGGAATGAATCGTTAATTTCCCCAGCCCTACTTTTTTTAGTCTATCAATTTTTTTTATTTCCTCGGCATCCAAATCGCTAGCCCCACCTCCCTGTTACGCATGCCTCCATCAGCTAGCCGGAGGCACACTCATGGCCGTGTCCGCACCTAGCTGTGAACGTCCATTGACACACACCACGCTCCCACACTTGCAGCCACAGTTTTACTGACGGCAGAAGGAACCTAGGGATCCTCTGCTATTAGTACCCTCTCCCACAACTAGGAAGTTCGGGGAAACCCAAGTATCTTCCCGGCTGCATGTAAGTGTGGGGGGACTGGGGCGTTAGAAAAGATGCAGAGAATGTATTGAGGTAAAAAACACCCAGTCTTTAGTACTTCTTTAACCAGTTAGGATACCTTTTGCTCTATTTTATTTTTCTCACCAACTCTGGATGATTGTGCCAACTAAAAAAGTGCCCCCCCAAGAGGCATGTGATGTCACCCATGCGTGGCGTCATGTGATCTCATCACAGAAAAAAATAAAATTAATCCTCAATCTCTTTGTCTGCAGCCTCTGTTCTATATGAATGGAAATTACAGAAAATATTTTCTATCAACCAGTTTCTGAATGTGGAGAAGCCTCTGCACTGAGTGCTACTACCCATTCAGAAACTCATGAATGAACAGGAAGTGATGTAAAGCACTTCCTGTTCATTCATAACTGGGGACACATAGTACTATGTAGAGACAGAGACACCGGAACTCCAAAAAATTGTACATTGCATGCTTTTTCCTGAGGAAGGGGATCCTCTGTGACCCTGAAACGTTCGTTGCTATCTGCTATACTGCACGCCAATAAATAGACGCTTGCTTATCATTTTGGAGTGCCGATGTGTCTGTCTCTACCTGTGTTCATAACGGATGCCACCCGTTGACTACCGCAGCACCCGCTTCTTGAAGGGATTTGGCGGTCAGGAGTGCAATGGGACCATGGACTCTACATTGTACTATGTGTCCCCAGTTATTTACAAACACTGGAGTGATCAGCTGAACGCTCCAGAGTTTGCTCTGCACACAGAGGATCGGTACATATCACTGACATGTACCGATCCTCCGCCGCTCGGCCACGCACAGAGGGGCGGCACAGCCTGTAGCTTTTCCTCTGGATCCCCGCTGCTCTCCCCCGCCTGTGTGGGCAGAGGCAGCGGGGATTCGAGGAGAAGTAATACTCTGAAGCCGGCGGGGAGGGCGGAGTAGGGAGACACTGTCAGTTTCTGGCCGAGTGCCCCTCTCTCTCAACCCCCCCACGCTTCACTTCTCCTCAGATCCCCGCTGCCTCTGCCCATACAGAGGGGGGAGAGCAGCTGGGATCCAGAGGAGAAGCTGCAGGCTGTGCCGCCCCACTTCTCCCTGCCGCGCTGGGTCCTGGCTGCGCCCCCACCCACGTTTGAGGAGAGAGCCTCAGTCGCCTCGCCCTCGCTATGGCCCTTTCAGTGGATGTTGCAAGGAGTCAAATCGTTTCATCTTTCTTATGCTTGGTGATTTGTAGAGGTAAAATGTAGCATATTAAGCAGAGCCCATGCTGCTAGATGCATTCCAGGTGAATTAAAACAAAAGTGTGCCGAGTCAGAAAATTTGTTTTATTTCTAAAGCTGACACAATCTGAGTAGAACAGATGGTGGGGAAGCAGTGCAGAGGTTCGACTGTCCCCTGCTGAGTTAGATCTATAGTTCTGCAATCAGCAATGCTCATGCTCCCTGCTGCTTGGGGAGCACTGGCTCTGTTATCAGTAGGGGGTGTGCAAGACCTCTGCAAACTTCCCTCAGAGCAGGGAACCAATTCTTCTACTCTAGTTATAGCTACTCTTTAAAGAAAAACAAACTGTAAGACCTTGCACACCTTTTGATTTGATAAAATTTATGGGATCATAGACCCCTGCAGTAGAGGGGGAGAGCTGTAGAGCTTTATGTAGCACAGGGAGAACATTTAAACCCTTCCATAATAAATTCTACATCAACAGTTCAGCTGGCAGGATCACCAGGTAAGTTAATACCATTAAAATGGGCATAAGGACAGACAGACTGATACACATTAATCCTATTGCAAGCCTAGTTATTACATTTTCTATTTTGCCCATAGTTCTACGTTATAGTGATAGCAACATATCCCTTAGGACTGTTAATATGGCTATACTACTTTTGTACTTTATAATTAGGATAGAAAATTGTATAATTAAAAGAAAACCTCTATTGTCAGAAATATGAAGACTGCCATTGCTGACTTTCCTACATGAATACAAGAATATGACTGTATCTGGCTTCAATACTGTCAAAACCACTTGCCTGGAATAAGCATGAAGTCATAACTCTAGATCAGTGGTTCTCAACCTGTGGGTCACGACCCAAAAGTGGGTCGCAACCCACAGTTGAGGGGGTCGCCATGTGCCTGTGCTGCGCTAGGTAAGAGACTCCTCAGCCTCCTCCTAGCACAGCAGTGTCAGTTCTCCTAGATGTCGCTGCAGCAGCGGGGATCAGAGAGAGGGGAGCGGGCAGGAGTGAGGGGAGGAGAGTGCTTGATCACCGAAGAGCCACACTGGGCATCACAGAGCCTGCACTGGGCACCATCAGAGAGTCCCACTAGCCTCCTTAGAGACCACTCAAATACTAGTATTGGTGCAAATGTTACCAAGGGGACCCAGCCCTAGAGAGGTTGAGAACCACTGCTCTAGATCTTTATACTTGTTTAAGGTCAATGTCCCAGAGAGTATTAAAGCCATTGAATCAATACAACAGCCCGCTAACTAGCAATTTCAAAACAAGGGGTCAGAAATTTCAACCTGCATATCATCTCAGTGTAGCTTTTCTTTAAAATAAGAAAATCATTAGGGCTCCTGAAAATCTACAAAATTGAACCACCGCTTAAATATGATCTTATTCTTTACTATAAACTAATGTTTATATTGGTTGTGCCTTATTTTTTAAGGTCTAACTCTAACCAAAACTTTTCAGCCTTAGAAAAGGAAACAGCTTTGTCAAATGTTTGAGCCTGTTCTTAACACTGATGGTCACTTCTGGCCTGCCTGCGACAGAAAGAATAGAAAAGGGGAGCCTGAAACATGTTAATGTAGCGGAGGTACTGCTCCACCCAGGATACAATTTCGGTCCCCCTTCTGTACCAGCTTTGTAATTCCCTTCCTTTTGGTTCTGCCAGTGTTCACCTCAGAGCATCCATCTCGGCTTGCAAGCTCTCCTATTGCTGGCATTCTAGTAATAATGTTCCAGTGTCTGTTGGCATGACATGGTGTTCCTCTGGATTGTTTGCCCTAGTAATATGTCCTGGTCAAGTCACTTTATTGTAAGTGCATTTCTAACATTTAATCTAATCAAGTGTTCTTATCAACACTATGCCATTTGCTCTGTTTTCTGCTTCAATTTTTGCATGTACACATGGCCCTTGGATGCACACAGAGCTTGCAAGGATAACTAGATTTGTCTTGGTACCAGAACAGCCTGGTACATTTGAAGAAAATGAAAGTGAAAGAGTGTTAGAGACAGTATGGAAGAGAGATGAGCTGAAAAAGAGGGAGAAAAAGTAAGAGAAATTAGATAAAGTTGCCATTTTTCTGATCACTTACTGTTTGTCTTTAATTTTCCAGGGTCGCTGTTCCGACTGCCAGCCTGATTGATGGCCTTGACAATGAAGATATACTTGGTGCCGCTCTGCAGACCATGTACTGTATAGTGGTTCTGTTTAATATTTGGAACAATCATCCAGCTGTCGGCAGAGTTACATAAACCTGAAGATTTAATTAAATACATTGGTCATTTTTTAAAACATTACAACCAAATTAAGCACTTAGGACTGTGTATTGCAACTTTAAGAAAAATATGATCAATGAAAGCAAAATCTGATCTGTTTGTATAGTGTTTTTGAAGTACTTATACCTCCCATGTACCCTGGACTTTCATAGTGCATTTATAAAGGAATAGTAAACATTAGATTTTATGCAACATTAAAATACATATTCACCTAAACTCCGTTAGATCTTTGAAGACCCTCAGAGATATTGGCTATGTTACCTGTTGGGCAGCTGTGCAGGTAGAACTTTTTCACTTTGCAAAACTGACATTTTTATCTGTTAAGTGGTAACAATTGTTTACTATTTCACACAGACTGCTTCCTCCTATTAGAGGACACACTGATCCTAACAGCTTGCCAGCTATGGATCTTAGACTATTCCAGTATGGTCACCACAATTTACCTCTATGAAATGGCTACAGAAAAAGAGACATGTGCCAGCCTGAGGACTGAGGACTCACATTCAGAGGGAGAAATGCTTGGCAATAAAGATAGCCAAGTATATAACAGGTTCTGAGGTTATTCCTATTCCTGTTGAGCCAGGGCTATAATCTATGTAACCTTTCAAAATGTTAAGAATTTGTTGTAGCCAGATAAAGGAAAACAATCCAAGATGTACATTCCCTAAAATGATTTAATAAAGTCTAGAAATGTTTTTTGGAAATTACTATTGTTTACAGACATTGGCAGTCTTTGAAGGAGTCAATTTTAAAATAACAAGGAAATGATCAGAACATAAAAGTTGCAAAATTGTTACTAATTTTTTAACTGCAAAAAAAGGATTCTAAGAAATGAAATTTACAATTTTTCCTAATGGAGTTATCATGTGCTTTATCATGTACCTTTGCTACCTAAAACCTGAACCAGACAGACATTCATTTATGACTCCTAAGATAAATATTTCAAGAAAAAACGCTATTTCAAGTGCCAATAAAAGATACCATAATCAAATACCAAAACTCCAGCAGCTCCATCACATCCAATAAATCTAGCTAAACAAATGAATTAGCTGGAGACAGATATATAGCTGGTGAAGTAGGTATGGGAAGGCTGATGACTGTTCTTTTTCTACCAAAAGGTGGCATATTAACTCTTCCATGTGCAAGAATGGCTTCACTTTTGATTTTTACCCCATAAAATCCCAGTCAGCTTTCTGCAAGTCTTTAAGAAAATTACTATCAAATGGCATTCCTGCACATGTGGTTGTTTTATTTTATTCACAGAAAAATAAAAGGGAGTAAAATGTAAGAGAAAGCTATATAATGCATATATAAGAAATTAAAGTGACACTAAACTCAAGAGTTATGTATTAAAAATGCATTCAAGCACCTTAACCATTAATAAAAATGTATCTTATTTGTGTATCACTCGGCTATAGATCATCAAATCATCTCTGAATTGGTGCTGACACTGGCCTTCCTCCTGGAGGGTGGCTACTTTTGTTCCCCATGGTCCCTGTGTGTGTTGTAAAATAGCCACCACTCCAAGCTCACTCCTGTGATGTTCTACAATCTCGTTTAGTTTACTAATTTGTAGTGAAATTGTAGACGATCACAAGGGCAAGTAACCACCCTCCAGAAGGAAGGACAGTGTCAGCACAAATTCAGAGATGATTTGAGGATCTACAGGATTTGTAAATGATACACAAATAAGATACATTTTTATTAATATTTAGGGTACTTGAATGCATTTTTAATTCCTGAATAAGTGTAATTTTAATGATTTTACCTTCCAATAGCCAACATCCCATTACCATTCTTTGTCACACTTATTTCAGAAAACAGTGCAATAAGCAAATGCAATGTTCACTACTCTTAGAAACCAATCCGAATTCATTGTGTTCTGGTTTGACTTAAGTGAAATTCTAATTGGTTGTTATGAGTTAGAGCTCTTTGCATTTTAAAGCTTTGTTATGTTTACTATGTATGAAACTAGCCCATAAACTGTTATTTTTTTAATTTTTTTACTCTGCATGTTAACACCATTTTATACCATATCATTTGAGCCCCAAGTTCCCTTTTTAATGCACTATTTTCAATCGACAGCACACATACAGAAGGCATGTAGAAATAATCTGCAGAGATTTTTATTTTCTGGCACTCTTAATTTTCTGTGCTTAATGTGAAATGTACTACGTATTTAGCTCATCAGTTTGGTGTAGACTCATTACATTGTTCTACAAAAAAAATAATTTAAAACTAATAAGCAAAACTTCAGGATAAGACAGCTATTTCCGTCTGCAAATATTGAAGCAAAAGCTGAGTACTTGCACATGTTAAATATGTAGCAATCCACTTGAGGTGCTTTGTCGCTGCTATAACCTACTTAAATGCAAATGGACTGCATTATGAGTGTTCACTTTAGTGCTTTGCTGTTTATGAGCAGCAGAAGGCTTTAACTAAGCTTTCATATATAACATTTTAAAAGCACATGGACTCATGGAAAGAAAGCTGTCTGGATTTGATGTTTTTTAACCCCTGAAAAGAAATTACAACAGCACCTGAATGTAATGTATCACATTTTATACAAGCAAATCATTGGAACTGGTTAGTAATGGAATCCTGCACACTGAGCAATATGGAGGCTGTTAGTGTTGACCCTCATCTGAAAATGGCAGTTGCCTAGGTTTCCCCTGTCTTTAATACTTTTACAGTAGCTGACTCAAAACAAGAATGCAGCATATGAATTCAGGCTTTACCATCTGAAAGTATTTACTCAAGTGCTTTTAACTACCTCCGGGCCGGCCGTAGTAAAAAAACGGCCGGCCAGGAGCTCTCTCGATCTGAGCGGGCGTCTCTAGACGTCCGCTCAGACACGCCCCCTTGCCCGCGCCCGCAGGCG